CTTCAAGACTCCAAAATAGTTGTTGCCTTTTAATAATTTTTCTTTCTTTTCTTTTCCCTTTTTCTTTTTTTTTTTTTTTTCACTCCCCAATTTTATAAATTAACCACATCCTACGTACTTAAGAATATGTTTAATATGTTTATCATATATCATAGTATTTTAGTATCGTTATTGATTGAAAACAGTTTTTGTGATACAATATTCGGAGATGGAGTGATTGTTGTGCCCTGCACAATAGCCACCGTTGTACGGCTATATGGGCTCATTTGAGAACACATTTTGATAATTCGAACTGTTCACTTTTTAGAATATATTGAGTAGAATATACTTACAAAAAACCAAGTTGATCAAATATCGTTAACCTTATACTTCAAATGTATTTGACTTTATGGTTCAAATTACATATGTCATTTATTTTTGTAAATACAAATGTCATTCAATGAAATGGTTAACGATATCCAATTAATTTGATTTCTTACAGGTATGTTTTATTCAATGTACTCTAAAAAGTAAACAGTTTGGATCATCAAAAACGAGTCCTAAAATGGGCCCATATAGGTAATCAATTTTTTCTTAAAATGTAGATTTGGTTTTAATTTTTAGCACTATATTTAAAAATTGGAAATTTTGATCTTTTACACAACTATGGGACTTTCTAAGTTTACAAAATATCTTTGAGACTTTATGGTGTTTGATAAAATGGAAAATTGAAAATTGAATGTTGAATTTTTTAAACTAAAAAATTATTTGATAAAAATTTAAGTACTGAAATAAAACAAATTGTTTGATATATATAATATTAAATTTGAAATTTATTATTTGTAAATTATATTTTTCAATTTTATGTTGCGATAGTGAAGTGGTGATGGTGCTTATAGTGCCAATGATAATGGTGATGATAAAGAGATACTGGTTGTAGTGATGTGGAGAGATAATGTAGTGAAGATAAAAAAAATAAGTCGCAATGGTGATGTAATATGATGGCGGTGGTTATGGCACAATGGCAATGGTTGTGAAGTGAAGGGTTGTAGTAATTGTGTTATAGGTAATGATAGTGGCAATTGTGGTTGTACTAGTAAATGATGATGGTATTTATGGTAACAATAACAATAGCAATGAATGTAGTGGTCGTGGAAGAGTGGTGGGTGGTGGTAATAGTTGTATAAGTATTTATAAATTCATATAGAATTAAGTAAATTTCATATTACTTAAAATATTGTTAATTTGTAATCTATATTTTAAGAGTCACTTAAAAAAAAAATTGAAGTGAAACCATTTGTAGTTATTAAACAAGTTTAATTGATTTTCACATAATACATCCAGTTTTAAATGTTGAATTAGATTATCAAAAACCAAGTTGTGGTACAAATTCTATATATAAAAATTTAGAGTAAATTACATTAATCTTTTCAAAGCTTTGGAAAAAAATACGGTAAACCCCATTAGTTTGGCATAATTACATTGCATTTTCTTATGGTTTTAATACTTAATCCCATTTTTACTAGTAATTCATTTCATCATATGGATCAAAAAAAGATATTGTCATATCTTTTAAACTGAAATGTATATTTTATTCTAATAATCTTTGTATTTTCATACTATCTGTATTAGTTTCGATCATTTTAACTTTACTAAACGAGATATCAATGTAATTATACCAAAATTATGAAATTAATTATATTTTCTCTAAATCTCAAAAGAAATTAGTAAAATTTATGTTGAAAACCCTAAGTTATCCCTCTGTTTATGGGAGCCCTAAAATTGTGGTACAGTGTACTATTTGGCTCAATAGTGCCAGCCACAAAAAAAAAAAAAAAAAAAAGAGAAATTACTATTTAGTGGAAATTGTATAAAATTATTACATATTTATTAAAAATTTTATGATTTTAATTATTAATATATATAAAGTTTACTACTTATTTATAAATATTTTCAAAACTTCACTTGTCCTGAAATTTTCTCCTATAAGAAGAAAAAAAAAAACTATTTTGTTTGCTATAAGTTCTCTCTATTAATGAGAGCCCTAAAATTTTGGTATAGTGTATTATTTGGCTCTACAGTAAAATGGCTCTATAGTAAAAGCTTCAAGAAACTTGGGTTTAGTGCTAGTTAAATTTCTATTGGGTTATGTTCGTCTAAACACAAATTACAAAACAAACAATGACCTAGTTATTGTGTGTATGGTTCAATGTCTTGACATACTAGTGAACTTTAAAATTTTTCAAGTGTAAAGAAAATAAATAGAAAAGTGAAAAGAGAGAATGTAATTAAATTGAAGTCGAAAAAATTACTAAAGCGGAATTGTAATTTCTTAATAAATACAATATTATTACAATTTCAAGAAAGTAAATTACTTCATCACTTTTCTTGCCCCTATAAACGAAATTGCTACTACTATAATTACAAACATTGAATCTAGTATAAGATAAAGAAGAAAAATATAGAACATGATCAAATGTCTTTTGATTTGTGTGGAGACCTTTAATATAATTATGAAAGACATATTCACCCAAAAAAAATTATGAATGATTATTTACACACAAAAGTGTACAAAAAAAAAAAAAAAAAAAAAAAAAATAACTATGGTTAAAGTAACTACCAATAACTCCTTACATCTTTCATCTTCATTCCTATGGTTAAAAAATATGGTTAAAAAACAGATCAAACTTGAGAAAAAATTCTGATTTTACTCAAAATTTTTCTGCCATTTCCAACAGCAACTTCTATTAACTTTTAAGTGAACAAAGTGTCCTACAAATATATAAAATAATAATAATAATATTTTATGAGTAACCGTTGTATAGATTTCCTTGTTGAGAATGGATCCTAAGTTCATGAGGTTTCTTTTCTTGTCTGAAATCTCATTTGATTAGTCGATTGACGTTAATGTTTCATCATGCTTTTGTTGATGAAGAAAGGAAAGGGGTAATATAATGTCCCACACGACCCAAATGAGGACAAGCACATTTGGCCCATCTTTAATTATCTCCACCCACCCTCCCTTCATCATCATAAATACTAAACTCCAAAATAAGGCCAATCAAAAAAAACAAAACAAAAAAAATCCAAAATAATAATAAATATTTAAAATTTTACAAGGTTTATTGGTAATAAGTCTAAATCTATGGGAATATGACATTAGGTTTAAAGATTAATCTTTTATAGAGATAAAAACATGATTAAACAAATAAATTGTTTGGTGAGAATGCCAAAGTATTATTTTAAAATAAATTTTTATTTTTACCCCATTGTCGCTAGATCACCATTGGCTCCGGAAAGTCATCAATGGTGGCCAATGGCGACGACTAGTGGTGGTGGTGGTGATATAGACAAATAAATAAATTAGGTTGATAGATAGATAGCATGTGGACAAATAAGCAAATGAAATGTAGACAAATAAGTAAATAGATAAATGACACTTGAACAGATAGGTGACATGGACATGATAGTAGACAGTGGATAGATAAACAAATAAGTAAGGATAATATAATCTTTCAAATTATTTTGTTCTTTTAGCTCCAAAAAAATAGAATTTTATATTATTATCTCAAAAGTTTTAAAATTAAATTATGATCTGAGTCCCCAATTTTAAAAGGACCCAAAAAATTAAATGATAGGATGTGATATAAAATAATGGATAAATTACATTGTTAGTCTCTATAGTTTAAGTGAAGTGTCACTTTTGGTCCCGACACTTTTAATTTTGTTGCGGCCCCTCCGTTATGCATTATTAACATTTTAAACAGAAAAGAAATCACATGTAATTTATATTTACACAGGTGGTCTCTATAATTTATTTTGAATTCTACTTTAATCTCTCTAATTTTACAAATTATTTTTCTATTTCAAATTCTAACGGTAACTGATGGAAGGACCACAATATAACAAAATTGAAATCGTATGAATCCAATTGGTCAAATTGAAATTACGGAGACTAAAGTCATACTTCACTCATATTGAAGGGACTAATAATGCAATGTACCCTAAAATAATTAATTTTTTTCTTTTTCCAACTGAGTATATTGTTCAAGCACACTTTAATAAAGGGAAAAGAAAGAATAATAATTCTTGAGTTTCTTTTTTGAATAGTAGTATGATAGTAGGGTTAAAGAAAACTCCAATTTTATTCATATATTAGATAAGTTGTGTAAACAAAATATACTTTCTAATTAATTCAAATTATAGGATTCTCTATTTTAAATGAATTTATTACACTTTAAATGATATTTTTTAAACTATTTGAACTAATAACAAAGTGAATTTTGTTTGCACATAGTGTGTAAACAAAATAATTTTTATTAAAGGAGGAGGAGACAAAAAAAAACCCTAAGTTTAGATTAATGTATCTCCCAAAAAAAGGGTATGTCTTAATCCTCTCTTATAATTAGTCCCATGTCTCCCACTTCTTTTTGTCTTTAATTATCTCTCTACCCCATGATAAATCTCTCTTGATTGTGTGACAGAAAGAGTCTTTCAAATATGTTTGGTTGAGTTTTTTTAATTTAATTTCTAAATATTTTTAAAAAACTAGCTCGTTAAAAACGAATGAAGAAAGAAAGACTTTATTGTTTTTATATGATTCTCTCTTTTTTTGAGAGGAGAAATAATTTTTGAGATTTAAAAAATAATATTTTTATATTTATTTTTAGGATAAAGTATATTGGCTTCCTCTAAGTTACAAATTTACTATAATTACATTAGGTTCATTTAGAATTTTAATTCACGCAACACTTAACTCATTTTTTATCAATAATTCCTTAGTCATATACATATAAAAAAATGAAATTATTATTTATTTTAGACTAAAATGTACTTCCTTTAGTTTTTAAAAGAAGTCAGTATAATTATGTCAAAACTCATAAATTTATTATATTTTTAAAAGACTTAGAAGAGATGAGTGTAATTTATCCTTATTTTTATGAAACTACTAAATTCTTTTTAAAAAAAAAAAAATCAAACAAGAAGAAGCTTTAAAGGCATTGGGGATGAGCCAATTATTATAAATATGTGGTAAAGAGGATAACAGGTGCATATTACAACATACAACAAACAAGTGGATGTAATGAAGAAGCAGAAGTAGCAGCCATATGAAGGGTCAAGAGCCCCGGTCGAGCTCCTCCTGTGCAGCCTGCAAGTTCTTGAAGAGAAGATGCAGCCCCAACTGTCTTTTCGCCCCTTATTTCCGCTCCGATGAGCCCAAAAAATTTGCTAAAGTCCACAAAGTGTTCGGAGCAAGCAACGTTAGCAAGATCCTCATAGAAGTCCCCGAAGAGCAACGCGAAGACACAGTGAATTCCCTGGTTTTTGAGGCCGAGGCTAGGCTCAGAGACCCTGTCTACGGTTGCATTGGCGCCATAGCTTTGCTGCAGAAGAAGATGGTTGAGCTCCAGCATGATCTGGCGATTGCTAGAACTCGGCTTGCTCGCTATGTTGTTGCCAAGCCTTCTCATCCTCATCAGCATCAGCATCAGCATCATCCTCTCTTGCTCCTGGATAATAATAATCATGATCATATTGTCGTGTCACCTCTTGTTGATCTTCCTGGAGTGTGCAGCGATGGATGGGTTGAGAGTTTTAACCAGAATTCATTGGAATCATATCAAGGTGGATCTATGGGTGAATTAAGCCAATTCCCATTTCCATTGTGAATCTCTCTCCTTCTCTCTCATATGTCTAATAATTTGGAGTAGAATGTCCTTCAATTTGCATATCTTTCCATCCAAGAAGCTATTATTGTAGAATTGAAATTTGATGGAAATTAATGGAAATACTCTGGAAGTTGAATTTTGGGTGCAAATTCAGAAGAAAATTGTCAGTGGTTCTAGTAAAATTTCAAGAGTACTTGCTAATTATTGTTCATGATAAAAAAAAGAAAGGTAAATTACAAATACACTTTCCTGAGGTTTGTTTAAATTATAAATTGCTCCCAGTGATTTAAAAAATTACAAATGTCTTTGTTAGTATTTTTTATTTAACAGAATTAACTAAAAAAATAAAATTCATAATTGCTCTCCTATACAATAATAAAATTACCTAAATTATTAATTGAAACATATTTCTAACATCATTAAAACTGTTAATTGACTTGATGATTTACTAATAAAATGGGCGATTTGTTATAAAATTAAAAACCTCAGAGGGTAGAATGTAATTTCCAAAATCACAGGAGACGAATCGTATTTTAATCAAATCTCAAAGGGTGTATTTGTAATTTACCCAAAAAAGAAAAAAGGAAAAAGGCCAGTGGTGTGTCCAGCTTCCCTAATTGCTCCAAAGTCTTATAAGTCTTAGCAAGGCATATCTATTTATTCATATTTTGATTTCTATGCAATTTCTCTATCTGCTATAGCTGATAAAAATCATTGTTTTAGACCGTGCATATGTAGAAAGCATATTTTATTTTAGCTGATAAAAATCATTGTTTTAGATCATGCATATGAAGAAAGCCTCTTTTGTTTACATCCATTGCACTTTACCTGATGTAGAAGCTTTTACACCATTTGCAACCATATTAACTGTTGAAAAATATAGTTTTTTTATAGTCAAAATAATGTGAGTGTGACATTTAAATAATGCCAAACAAACAAACAAACTATGCATACAAAAACTTGGTGGAGAATTACGTCTTATCGATATCTATCCATTCAATGAAAGTCCAAAAGGCCACTATTATAGTTTATAATTGTAAAATGTAATTGCCACATCAATTTGTATAGATATTTTTGCATAAAAATTCCGTATGTTTAGAAGACAATGTGTCACTGTTATGCAGGCGTGTGTCAATCCCACACAAGTGTACAGGGGCAATGTCTGGGTACTTTATAAGCGAGTGGTGTGAAAAATTAGTCCGTGACATGTGGTATGCAGGGCCAACTTGAGGATACTGGCAATGTTTTGGAAGGAAACATCGAAAAATATATAAAATCCAAATGCGGAATGAGGAGATCCAATGCTTCAATATTACAATCGAGAAAAATTAAAGATACAACAAATCCGTTGCAGAATAACTGACATGTACAACAAACTTAACAATAATTGATATAATACAGTCCTGACCTCTTGCATTGATTCAAACTTATAATCTACAGGCGATAGATACATATCATGTAGGATGCGCGAACTCATTTGGAGTAGAAATCTACATGTTCTCCCAGAATCAACTTTTCAATCCCCCCAACGCCAGAAACAGCCTATGAAATCTGCTTTCCTTTCAGAGGAGAGTTTTCATGTCATCTTAGTTATAATTTTTTCCCTGCTCGAGGTATGCACAATAATGCAAAAGTTAATGACTAAACAAAAGCCAGCAGCAAAATACAGACAGCTTCAAACTGCAACACTAGATGCATGAGAGAGAGAAAGAGAGCAGCACATAAAATCCTGTTAACCTGTGAAATTGAAGTTTTCAATATTTTCATACATTTTTATATGCAGAGCATTCTACAGGAATATGTGAAGCAAAGACAATATTTGGTCAATTAAAAAATACAGACATGAGCATAATTCCCTCCTACCCAACAAATGCATACCACATTCAATTGGAAGTCTGCAATATAAGATGTAACTTCTTTCTGCCAGTCTCGAGCATCATAGAACGAGTTCGTAAATTTCTCACATCTTACAAAGAAATTCCAGAAAATAAGCCAATATCTACTTACAGTAAACTTGACTGACCAAAATATAAGCAGTAGCGGTGCAATGGACAGAGTAATTGAGTACCTAAACTTTAGTACATTTGTGTATGTACTACAGAAATATCATTCAACCAAGTACAGGCTATTTATTCCATCCCAATCAGGCAAAAATGACATATCCTGGAATTATCATGTCCATGTGTGTGGGGTGGGTGTGCACATGACGTGCACGTGTGGGTAGCATCTCTCAGCTTTGGTTGCATAGCTTCTCTCACATGCATAGGTGTGTGAATGTCTAAATTTACATATAAAATGCAGTAGTGTAGCAGGGAAAGTACAGAGGGGAACTGGCAGCTCTCACAATTTGGGTAATCAGGAAGCAACAAGACAGCAGAGTTGCACATGGTAACCACTGCATAAACAAATAAGCAGAAGAAATATATCTAGAGGGGTATTGGGAATTTCTGGAAGCATGAAGATTCAAGTTTCTAGTTAATAAAATGACACTTCAGAAATATTTGAAAATTGCCCACAGGATCTAGAAGAAGAGAATGTATACACGAGAGGGACGAAACCACTATTGAAGCCAGAAGAATACATTTCAAAGGTACCCTAACACAAGGAAGCAAGCAACTGTGCACAATTCAAACCATATGTTACTCAGCTAGAGTCGGGTCTGACAGTTTTTAACTTCCCATTACAAGCTGGTCAAAAATATTTCAGAGCATGTTAAACAGTTACAGGATTTAGTGTGCTGACCAAAACAGGTGCTACACGTATAGCTAGCATATGTAAAAGTCTGGATGTCCAAGTGATAAATCGAAGATATTCATAGACAATGCAACGTGTGCTCTGATACAATATCAAGTATAATTGCATTAGCATATTGCATTAGTTTAGGACACATTTTTAGTGCTTAAATTGACAAAGTTTGCCTGCCTTTCAGATATTTGCGTTGGGTAATTATCGGATTAAGACTGGATTGTTTGAACATGTCCCAATGCCACCTTGCATTTGAGCAAGGTGCCGTTGAAAGGTGCCCTCAAAGTGTGCTTGAGCTGAATAGAGCTAAGTATGCAGAATCCAAATTTTGCGAGCTTCATTGAAAATACGATCGAGCAGACAAGTGAATTTCTGACTGCCTATGTGACCTGATTTGGAATAACTATATAAAGTGTCTTTATTTTTTTCAGTATAAAACACAAAAATATTCAGAGCAATCCTAGCTTCACCAAAGCTGTCAAATACCTAGTAGACCTAGTCCATATTGATTCAGAGAAGAATACTTATTTTGTTAATGCATGGGAACTAATTTGAAAAAATAAAATGAATAAAAATTAAACTTCTTAACAGAATCACTAATCATTTATAACACTTAGATCACTATTGATACATTAGTTAATCCTACCGACAGGTTGACTCCAATTGGAGCCGCAAGGAGCAGAGATCTGTGAGTTCAAGCTTGTGAACTTGAAGACCGAAGACGTTAAGGCTAAACACATTCATGATTGGGTTGGAAGTTGTCTCGTACTTGAGTCTTTGTATAAACTCTGACTTAGCAAATCGTTTTACTGGGCATGGTTGTCCGTGGTTTATTTAAAGCAGGGATCATTGTTCCCAAGGGTTTTCATGCATATCAATATGTCTATTATCTTGTTTTTATTATTTATTGCAAAACTATGTGGATGGTATTTCTATAATTCATTGATTAATTAGGAACTGGCTTTTTGAATTGAATAATCCACTGGGAAAATTTTAATTGATAATTGTTTGAAAGTTTGGCCTATTCATCCCCTCTAGGCACAAATGTATCTATGAGTACTACAAACAAAATAAATCCTGCCAAGATAAGTCACACACTGAAAATGGTGGTAACATGACCAGGCTTCCATATGCAATTTCCTTTTACTTACACTATGTTTGGGAACTTAGGAGAGGAAAGAAAAGAAATGATTACTTAAGTAATAAGAGAAAAGAAAAGAAAAGAAATGATTGTGATTTCTCTCCTTTTTGTTTGGATAAGGAAGAAATAAAATAAAAGAAATGATTGTGATTTCTCTCATTCTTGTTTGGTTAGGTTTCATTAAGAGAAAAGAAAAGAAATTGTTTTATGTTATATTACCAAAATAACGTTTTTATATTTTCAATCATTTTATTTCTTTTATTTTTATAGGGACAAAATTGGTATTATGAAAATAATAGTTTCTTTTCTCTCCCAATCTCTCCACTTTTGGAAAGATTGAAAATGAGGCTTATAAGAGAAATGAGTCTCTCTCCATTTCTCTTCATTTCTTCCCATTTCTCTCTACTTAGATTATCCAAACAAATAAGAGAAATATATATCACTCTATTTCTCTTCTTTTCTTTTCTTTTCTTTTCTCTCCAAATCACTCAATCCAAACATAACGTTAGTGTGTGTACATACAAGTAAAGGTTTTATACTAATGAATTTCTATGAATAGTATACATATAATGTTGGGTGTTTTTCTCTCTGTTTTTTTTCTTTTTTTTCTTTCCCACTTTTGTGTGTGTTGGGTTGGAGGTTGAAGTTGAGGTTGTCAACGACTCAAATGATGAAACGTTGGTTGGGTAGGGAGTTCATACCAAGCTAAAAAACACTATATCTGAACAACCTTAACCAAGTTCTCCAACAGTCTAATTTAGGATTGGAAGGTTCAGCCCCCCCAACTTGCAACCCTGCAAGTAGCTCAATGCACATGCAAACAGACACTAACATGAGCAAGCATGTGCACAAACATACGGAAACATTTTCCTAAGTTTTATCCATTCCCAAATTAATTATCAAACAACAATAACCAAAAAACTAATACATCTTAGAAGAACACCTACCTTACTCTTGGTGCGATAATTTAAATTTCTTTTAAGTTTCAGTAAATATTAACTTATGTTACATGGACTTTTCAAAATAAATCAAATACCAGTGTCGAACACATAACACTTGGTAAGGGTGTGGGATAGGTGTCCGATAATTTCATCGGACACTTCTTATATATTTGTATTTAATACTATTAGTATATTTATATATTATTACGGAGGTAACTATTGGTTCAATGGTAAAACCTTAGCCTAATAATCTTGAGGTTACGGGTTCAAGTCAAGGGACAACTATTTTTGTGCACTATGCCAAAGGTTAGGTGTGTACCCA